GAAAGTTTAGTTGAATTCCTAAAGGAGACAAAAATAGCCACTAGGAAGTGGCACATAGGAACTAATGATTACGCAAGAACCCTACTACCTAGTCTAACCCATAGAACCAGGCTTACTAGGCATAGATTATCTAATCATGCTTATTAAGCCACCTCTCCTATCCTGACTCCCCTTTGTGTTTTTTTTTCTGTTCTTTCTTTTGTTTCTTTGTTAAATCCACCTATACCTACTGTTCCTTAACATTTGATTTCTTTACATTATACTACAGCCTGTCTCTCATTCCCTATTTCTGTCCCTCATAGAAGGTTCCCACTGTTGACTGGTCTATAGCATAACCCACCTGTATATAGATATTAGCTACTAAGCCCTACTGCCTAGGTGGTAGGCAGAGCGTGCATAGTCTCTGACTGAAAAACGCTCTCTAAAATGGAAGAATAATAATAATAACCAGGGTCAAGACGGCGCTCAATTTGTTACGCGCTGGGTCCAACTGTAGTCGTCGATACTTAGCAGTGGTGGTTAGGGAAGGATCAAGGAGTCTTTCTGAGTCTATGTTGTTCACGAGCACACGACGATCAAACTGATCAGGGTCTCCTCTCCTCAAGACAACGGCCTAACTGGCGAAGGGCTCTTCCTCAAACGACCTCTCTCAAGTATAACAGGGTCTTGCAGGGACACACACAAGTAGGGGTGCTTCAAGTAATTGAGAACAACAACGACTAGGTCAGAGGCAACGCCTACTAGAGCTATACCAGAGTATACCACTAGTAGTAAGAAGTCTTACTGACCCCCAAAGTAAGTATCTTAGTAACGAGTTGTATTAAGTGAATTGAGCGCAAATAGATAAAGGACTAGATACATGACTGGAATTTCCCTTCCTTTTATGTTCCTTCCTCTGCCCATCTGCCTGTTTAACTGCCCTTATTTTCCTTTGGTAGATTTCTTTGGCAGTCGTCTTCCCTTCTGTCTGCCCTTCATTTCCTTATGGCAGTCTTTTGGGCAGTCGTCACGTGACTTCTGATGCCTCATGTCTGCCTCGCGGGGTAATTGTTTCATCCTGCATCGCTGTGTTGGACAGCGTCCCTCCTTGTTGGTCCGTAACAGGTTTCCCTTAGTCGCACATACTTGTCCAGCGTGTGATTAACGGAAGAAGGCCTTTTTCGGTGTTCTTGCAATGACATGTTAGTCTTGATCTTGATGTAATACATTATGCCTGCCAGTCGATTATCTAGTTAAGTCATTAGAATTTATAGTTTCATCTCCAATCATTCCATAGATAATATCTCTCGACTTAACATACTGATCCCTTGATCCAATGTTAAACAAATGATGCGTCATGAGTGATGGTAAATCAAGAATTTAAAACACTTAGTCGTATTTCAATGACCTCCCCTAAATGAGGTCATTGAGTGACTGTCCTTGGGGGCGATAGAGCGAGAACAGGCCAAGTTCGATTGATGTTATCGGTGAGGGCATTACTATGTTAAGAAGCAACTATTATGTATCCGATCCTATAATGCATGAGGTGTCTCAGTATGCTTGTTGTGCCTTCATCTCGAATTTCCACCGCACATAAGTAATCTCTTTTCAAATTTTCGTAATCTCTATCAGATGAATGGGGATTTCATTCGATTTTGTATGCGACATTATGCGACATACGGAATTAGAATCCGAAGCTTAATGCGTATCAGGTCTCTTTGGTTGGATATCTCGCAACAACAGAGCGTACGAGCTCACTTCGCCTTTCGAACCTCCCCAGGGTTCCAGATCCACAGTCACCCTGTCAACTTCTTTAAAGCCATGCTTCAAGTACAAACCAAAGCCCTTCTCAGTAGCTTCAGTATAAGCAGGAAGACCGAGCTCGTCCGCTTCACGAAGGCCTTTTTCCACCAGTATCCCCCCAAGACCGCGACGCTGAAATTCTGGGCGGACGTATAATTCCTTCAAGACTTGGAGTGAGAGTTAGTCACGTTTGCAAGGCTTGCATAATCTTCTATCCCTTCTTTCTTTCTCCTGCCCGAAGGAGTCAATTAAACTTACTAAAGACGTCCTTCTCGCCTAGAATCTTCGCGCGTTTCAGAAATCGTGCTCCGCTCGTTGCATCCATTAGGGCCTTGTTCATTCCTTCCGGCCGGTATCTGTTCGCATAGGTCTCCGCCCACTCAGCCTCTGTGCGACCTTTGGCGTACTGCCACCATGCATACGCAACTGCTTTATTGGTTGCATCTTCGGTGATCCAGAAGTATCTATTATTGGGGTCGCTTAGAAAAGCAACAGTGCGAGACACTTCTTCGTCATCTTGCGCTTGTGCATCAGCTGTGGCGGGTGTTGTTTCCGGGCGGAGATGGGCTGGCCACAACAGCCTCGAAAGTGGGCTGCTTTCGTTTGCCGAGCTTTCGATATCCATGATCGTACGTGCCCCGTCCTGCGTAGCAGGGACCGTGGAAACAGTATAGCCTGTAATTGGAAGAGCCATCATAGGAAGCACTGGATCTGCTCACGATGGGGATGATAAGCGTGGATTGTACTGGAGTGCACGATATCTATCATTTATAGGTACACTAGATACCCCTGGAGCACGACATGAACCAATACTATTAGCCCATGAAATTAGTGAGTTGGTTTTGGGGGCCGACCTTCATGGCAGAACAAAGCCAGATGCCATTCTAATCACGTCTCGTTCTAAAAAAAATCCTAATTCTATTGTGGCTTGATTTTTCTCTCCCACGGGATATTTTTACAGGCGATTTTATTGTACTCATCTTTCGCCATCATGAAATGCCCCAGACAGGCCTCGACGTCTGCCGAATGATCTCATATCGTGGGCATCGAATCAAGCCGAACTACGACAGTAAGTTATTCTGTCATCGTCGTCGTAGCAATCTGACCGTCTTTTTCATTGTTATGCGTGATGTTGGCGATTCGGGCAATGACAGCTGGGCTGGCAGCGAAGCGGGGTCCTGACATATGTGCCGAAATATATAATATCTAATTCAAGGCACCGGGAATCCACTGCCTCCCTCGCGGTTCAGAGACCTAGTCAGATGAGGAATCTCTCATGCTGTACGACGCCATAAATAACTTGTCAAGTATCTTTCGACAACAGATCTTTCCCCCCAAACTCGAAATCCAGAAGATCATCCCGGAATATGCCGAGATATAATTAAAAAAAATTTTTGGCTTTTGGAACAACGCAGATGGCTATAAGACATGTCGACTCCGCAATATGCTGGAGAAATTTCATGAGACTGCTTGGAAGGCATCAAGGTTAGGTGCAGTTCGAGCGGACAAGCGTCGCACTTATCGAGTGCGTGGACAACCTCTACATCATGCATCTAGGCGAACTAAACCACCGCGATCAATCCATTTGTGACACTCCTGTGGCGCGAGATCAGGTCGTCCATGGTGGCGCAGCTCGCTGAATTTCTGCAAAAGCATGGCAGGAGATGATGAGGAGAAACGTCTAACTGACCTGCTACGCAAAAAGAAAACAACAATAAATAAATAAAACTTTTTGACGTCCTTCAGTGGTTACATGGAGTTTTCTGTTCGTAGAATATCGGTAGTAATTGCATTTTGCGCAGCCTATCCACAATTGTACTGGGACAAATGCCAGCCATACATGGTGCATTTCGGATTAGAAAAATAGTGAAGCCATTCGAACTCTAGAGTTCCTCCTCGTCCATTAGGTTCCATTAGTTTGGTTATAATGATCTTTACACCGCGAGATCGGCAATATTTATTCAGTGTTGATGTTACGTTTTGGCGCAATTTGACAGAGGCGTTCTCACCAATTATATGAAATCGAGGTGAGACAAAACATATTATGTCTATCGTCTGAACACAAACTCTTTACCATCATCAAAACAAGCTTTGTCCTGCGCCTCTAATCCTGCAACGGATATATGTAGTCCAATCTGGTAACAGAATTTGTTCACGATCATCAGGGAGTCTACAGACGCGTGGAATTTGTTAGCGGCTGCAGCAAGGGGATGCCGCGTTCAACACACTCCAAAATCAACATTCGCGTCATCTTTCCACATAACAGGAATTCTGGTCATCCAAAATCCTGGAGCGCTAGACCTAAAAACTACATCAATACACTCGCCTACTTCGGGTTCCTCGTGAGGGCGCCGTAGCCGTGGCGAACTGTATTTTGGTGCTGTTGTTCAAGCCCGCTCGTACAGCATGTTTTGCAACTTTTACGCGAAGCAAATGTCCGTCCTGAAGCTGACTGTCAATCTTTCCCGCAGCGAGGTTTGCTATCTCAGCTGGGGGCCGTGTCGGTCGCCGCTGGGCGACCGCAGCTAGATATGACCGCCCGGTTTCAGGGCTTCAAGAGATTGCTGATCCTGACCAGCCAGTAGTCCGATTTGATACCCCAGATCAAGAGCCGTTGATATATGACGTCAAACTTGCCCATCAAATCCCACGCGTCCAAGGACGGGGTTCTCATGCTGTCGTCGCTTCGGAGATCAGCAACGATGACAGGCCGGAATAGCCTCGATACAAGGTCGATACCACAGGGCTCCAATTGACAAACAGTGAGTTATCGAAGGAGATTGTTCAGCCAGAACCGCAAGTGATACAAACAAGCGGATTCATCCAGGAACTTGTGTTAATAAAGTCTCCATATACATCGAGTACAGTCAAGCAGCACCTACTATTTGACGCGCCCAAATCATTGACGCCCACGAGATTGTCAGCCACACCAATCTCCTTTAGTTTGTATATCGGCTGCATCACTATCAACGTTTCATCGCTAACCATGTTCATCGCGGGTGTGATGTGATAACATATAGCTTTCTTCGGTTCCGGCAAGGGAGGCCGAAGCCTTTGCGTGCTCTAATCATGATTGATTCAATTGATTCACGTTTTCTGGCACTGGACTGGAAAGCATGTTAATTGACACCATCCACGCTGCGTTTACGAACCTTGTTGTAGGCTCCTGTGCGCTCTGTCGCAATCGGAGTTGCAATGGACTTGCTGTCCTCCAAACTCAAGGCCCCACGGACTGAGCTGTCGGAAACAGAGGCTCTGTGAGTGGAGGGAACGATGGAACCTCGCTGCTCTGCTCCCCGTTGATACTTGAGGAACTCAGTTTTCACTCGCGATCAATGCTGCGGTTGCTCATCTGGTTCTTATTTATCGAGGCTCGAGGGCACTCGAAGAAAGAAGCGCCATCTTGGAGAGTCTGGGACTTATCTAGAACCAACGACGGAATGTCAGCTCCCAAAGGCTCGATTCGGGGTCTGTCATAGCCGAAAGGCTCGGTATGGGCGTTAAACTTGAATAATAATAATAATAATAATAACACTCTCTAAAATGGAAGAATAATAATAATAATAATAATCTTCGGTGCCGTCTTCGCAATTGTATGATGCAAATTTGCTCCTCTATCTCTGATTCTTTAGTCCGCGCTTTATTGCCGATACTCGAAAGATGGTTGTCTTTATCCTCAGATACGTGGTTTTAGCTGCTCTTATCAGCATTGTTGTATACTCGTTTCTGTCTATGGGCAAAAGAGGCCGCAACCTTCCTAATGGTATTTGCGTCACAGTGGTTAATATGAGTTGTATGGCCATTTCCGCTGATGTTCTCTTGCTACATGCCCACTAACCTTACCGCTGCTTGGAAATCTGCATCAAATCCCCATGAAGGGCGCACATTTCAAGTATGCTTAAGAGATTTTCCCACCGTCTCATATATATAGATATCCCATATATACATACTGACTTCACTTATCCATGTCAGATTCACCAAGATGACAAAGAAATATGGTGGAATGTTCTCTCTTAAACTTGAGACTGGAACAGCAGTAGTTCTTACAGACCGTCGCATCATCAAAGAACTTGTCGATAAGAAGAGCTCAGTGCCGAGTAATCGACCGGATTCTTATGTTGCTCAAGGAATTATTACTGGCGGCGGTCATCTGCTGGTCATGAAGTACAGGCCTACCTGGAGGTTGTTTCGGAAGCTCATTCACCAGTACTTCATGGAAGCAATGTGTGAGAAGGAACATATCAAAGTTCAGAATGCAGAAGCTGTTCAAATGCTACAAGATTTTGTCATGACCCCGGAACATCACATGCTTCACCCGAAGAGATTCAGCAACAGCGTCATCATGACCCTACGTAAGTTGAAGCTTGTGGTGATTGTAACAACTTTGAGAGAGCTCTAATATGATTGCTACAGTGTTTGGCACAAGAACTCCATCCTATGACACTCCTCATATGGCGAGGCTGTACGACTTGATGGAGAACTGGTCCAAAATAATGGAGACTGGCGCCACGCCGCCAGTGGACGTATACCCGTTCCTAAGACTGATTCCGGAACGGTTTTTGGGCAACTGGGTCTCTCGCGCCACAAAGGTCAAGGAAGAGATGGAGTCACTTTACAGCGACATGATAAACCATGTCATCCGCCGCCGCGAACAGCAAGGAAGCAAAGGCTCTTTCATGGATAAAGTACTCGACAGAAACGATAAACTTGGTTTGAGCTCGCATGAATTGTATTTCCTTGGAGGTGTGATGATGGAAGGCGGTTCTGATACGTCTTCGTCGATTATTATTGCCTGCATACAAGTGCTGACAAAATGGCCTGAGGTTCAAAAGAAGGCTCAAGCGGAGATTGATGCCGTCATCGGAGAAGACCGTTCACCTCTGTGGTCTAAATATACAAAATTGCCGTATGTGGCCGCTGTTGTCAAGGAAGCAATGAGATGGCGACCAGTCACTCCGCTTAGTTTCCCGCATTGCCTGGATGAAGGCAACCTCTTTTATACCTAATTTCCATGAACATTTACAATGGAAAATTGACTCGCGTCAATCTATAGATCAATGGGTTGATGGAAAGTTCATCTCCAAGTGAACAACAATTATTCTCAATATTTGGGGACTTCACCATGATGAGACAAAATTCCCGAATCCCGACATTTTTGACCCGGCTCACTACGCCGGTCACACTCAACTGGCTCCTGAGTACGCAGCTTCTGCTGATTACGAGAACCGTGATCACTACGGCTATGGGGCTGGTCGCAGGCTGTGTCCTGGGATCCATCTTGGCGAGCGCAATCTTTTCCTAGGTATTGCGAAATTACCCTGGGCGTTTTCTTTCGATAAAGAGCTGGATTCCTCGGGAAAGCCTATTGAACCTGACGTTGATCCCATTACAGGATACAGCGAAGGCTTCTTAGTATGTGCAAACCCATTTCCTTGCAAGATCACGCCAAGATCAGAAGCCAGACGAGACACAATCATGAAAGAGTTTGCTCAAGCTTAGGCAAATATCTTCTCAAAATATGAGAATTGATTGCTGTCAATGTACATACATACAGTCGGGATTAGGAAAAAGATAAATTTTTTATGAATCCAAAATGCACCTAGGTCATCTTGGCAATTCCTAGACATATATATATTCGAAATAGTAAGAAATTACATACCGATGGTGCCTATGTTATAGGCACAAGATCATAGAACGCTTTACGAGACTAAAGATTTCTGAAATACCACTACATAGCGACATGCGGACAAGATTATTTACAATGTGACACGCTTCACGAGCTTTTTAGCCACAGGGATGTGATTCCAGGTAGCCATAACAGGCACGAGCCTCCAGGCCATCACGGCTTTTCTACACTTGACGAGTGACAAAACTGGAGGACAAAGACTGGACAAAAGTCTGCTTAAATATACCTGCATGCCATCAGAAATCCAGCAGATGACTCTCATAAACACACTCATCCTAAAGAGGCAGAACGGCAGGAGGTAACTGCAGTGATAGAAACCTCCTCCAACAAGCAGTTTTGCAGGATCATCTTGTCATGTCGAACAAATAAAAAATGACAAGTTGGACGAAGTATCACCGTCCAAGAGCCGCTCAGTGAAAAGGAATATCAAGATATTTGAGACTTCGCGGACCTGACCTTCAACGCTCCTACCTCGCCCGCTGAGATCTGCCGTTTTGAAAAAACAGGCGGCCGAGAAACGAGCCTTGAAGCCTCAGATGAGCAAACAGCCCAAACCTTAGGCTGTACTAACAGGCTCCTCTGAAATGTATTATTGTCAAGATGGAGAGAGAGATTTTTTGCTAGCATGTCCATCGTCTGTCAAGCGCGGAACGGAAACCGCAACGCTGCGTTGGCGTGCGGAACGGGCTTCCGCGCTTCTCCAACGGGGTCCTGAAGAATGCTGTGCAACTCTCCCCGCAGAAGCAACGGAAAGCTCACCGCGATGACAGAAGCTGGGGCCAATCTCGACAGGATGCTTCTACCGAGTCGGTTGTTGGCGGTGCCGAACAGTGGCACATGCGTAACCACGAGGGCATATATATTTTCGCATAACGACACCAACTCCTGCCAAATGGCGCGACAGAATCGTGCTCAGCATTTTACTCATCATGGCCTACGAAACTCTCACCTTGACCGTTTTATCGGTCCTCTTCGTTCTTTATCGCTATCTCAACCAGACAGATATACCAAAGATCAAAGGACTCCCGGAAATCCCCGGAGTTCCGATCTTTGGTAGCCTGTTCCAACTCGGAGATTGTCACGCAAAAGTTGCGGCCAAGTGGGCGAAGAAGTATGGCCCTGTCTTCCAAGTTCGAATGGGAAATAAGGTAATGTAGTCTCCAAATGCTTCTGACAAGTTAACTGCTGACACGTACCAAGAGGATTGTTTTTGTCAACAGTTTCGAGTCAGTCAAACAGCTTTGGATCAAGGACCAATCTGCTCTCATCTCTCGCCCGACTTTCCACACCTTTCACGATGTTGTTTCAACTTCTCAGGGCTTCACCATCGGTACCTCTCCCTGGGATGAATCGTGCAAGCGCAGACGCAAAGCTGCCGCAACAGCCCTCAACCGGCCCGCAGTGCAATCTTATATGCCTATCATCGATCTCGAGTCCACCGCAAGTATCAAAGAACTCTTGATGGATAGCAATGGTGGAACCAGAGATATCAACCCCATTCCTTATTTCCAACGGTTTGCTCTCAACACCAGCCTCACCCTAAACTATGGGATTCGAATTGAGGGAAATATCGATGATGAATTGCTCCGCGAAATTGTTGCAGTGGAACGTGGTATATCCAATTTCAGAAGCACGAGTAACAATTGGCAAGACTATGTTCCGCTGCTTCGGATATTCCCCAAGTTGAATAAGGAGGCCGAGGAATTCAGAGTGCGCAGAGATCGGTACCTTACGCTTCTCTTGGATATGCTTAAGGAGAAGATTGCGCAAGGGACTGATAAACCGTGCATTACGGGAAATATTCTGAAAGATCCGGAGGCTAAACTCAATGACGGTAAGTTAATTGCGAAAGATTTGGTTGGTTGTCCACTAATGAATAACCCTTTCCAGCTGAGATTAAGTCGCTCTGCTTGACAATGGTATCGGCCGGCCTGGATACTGTTCCAGGAAACCTCGTCATGACATTGGCGTATCTGTCGTCCGAGGACGGTCAGAGAATCCAGCGCAAAGCTTACGACGAGATCATGAAGGTCTATCCTGATAACGATGCATGGGAGAAATGCCTTGTCGAGGAGAAAGTACCATATATAACTGCCTTAGTAAAGGAAACCCTCCGGTATTGGACTGTTATTCCCATCTGTCTCCCAAGGAAGAGCGTGAAGGATATCACATGGGGCAACGCGGTCATCCCGGCCGGTACCACCTTTTTCATGGTGAGATTGATCCCTTGTTGTCGAGAAGGAATTTGACTGACTTGTTCTCCCCTTCAGAATGCATGGGCGGCAGACTATGATGAAGACCACTTCCAGGAACCCCACAAATTCATCCCAGAGCGCTACCTTGACAACCCAGAGAGCTCGGGGACGCCACATTACGGCTATGGAGCAGGTTCAAGAATGTGTGCTGGATCGCATCTCGCGAACAGAGAGCTCTACACGGCCTTCATCAGACTCATCACGGCCTTTACAATTCACCCGTCTAAGGATCCCGCTGATCGACCAATTCTTGATGCCCTTGAGTGCAATGCAATCCCCACTGCGTTGACCACGGAGCCTAAACCGTTCAAAGTTGGATTCAAAGCCAGAGACCCAGCACTGCTGCAGCGGTGGATTGCAGAAAGCGAGCAACGGACCAAGGATCTCTGATTGATTGATCTAACGATTACTTATTGCTGCGTGTCATGTAAAATACGTAGAAGAGCGGTTGCCAGCTAGGGAGGAATTTATTACGCAGACACTGGAGTCCCTGAGGTTACAGGAGTCGATTACAGCGTATACGGAATTATAAGTCAGTTTTTTTATATTTAGCTCGAATCCCTCCAAATCAATTGTCGATTCTCTTTCTCTACTGTCGTAGCTGAAGTGATATTTCTGAATTGCAGTTGACTGAAGGACAGCGATCTGTTCAACACGCAGCGATAGATCGGGCCAGCAAGAGCGTTTTTACAGTGACCAAGTGAACCGATTCCTAAATATTAGATGCGGCTCAATCATTGCCTCGGTTTCTCAATAATAATAACGGCCCAGTTGGCTCCATGGTTCCAAACTGCGCCTAACACCTACCTTGGTTAGGGAGGATCTAACCCCGCATAAGATCTCCACACGCCGAGTTCCCCAACGTGAGCTGTTTCCTTCTTCCGCAGAAACGCCGACGCCTCAACATACTCAACATGACCTCGCAATCGCCAGGCGATGTAGACCAACAACAGACGAAACCTTCGGAAAGCAATAGTACTGTCGTGCCTGAGAAAAGAAAACGGAGCAAATATATTGCAAAAGCATGGTGAGCCATTCGCTAAATTTCTCCTTTTTCTCACCGACAGTTAAATAACATTGAAAAAGCAACGAATGCAAACGCCGCAAGATCAGATGCAACGGCCAGCAGCCGTGTCAGCGGTGTGGGCGTCGGATGGTTGAATGCATATACGCGGTGGATAGCAGTGTCAATGACAGCCAGTAAGTCTAAGAAGTGAGCCTTGTCCGAGAAAAGAAAGGCTGACAATAAATACTGTCGCAGAAATATTGAGCAATTGCTCCACCAGGTCCAAAGTCTTCAGGAACAGGTGAAAACGCTTTCGGGAACCGTAGACACCCTGGTCGCACGAGATGCGGCGCGGTCTTCTGGGTTTAGGAGTGAGCCTTTTCAGCGGCCGATCGCCAACGCAGAACGAGGAAAAGCATCTTCAGGCCAACAGCTCTCTTTCCATGGTCCCACGACTTCATCTTTCAGTTTCGGGATCGCCAGGCAGAGCCTACAGACTAGAGGAATCACCGAACTTGGCGATGAAGGCGAGGCCACGCAGGAACCCTCTCCCATGCCTTCCCCTTCACTGTCACCTCAAACGTTTGAATATCAGCAATCTATCGACCCGCTCTGGGCAATTAGCAAAGAGGAAGGAATCCGACTATGTCGCGTGTACGAGGAAGAGATGGGAATAATGTACCCAATTCTCGAGCTTGAACAAACTATAAGCCACGTGAATGCACTGTATACCCATCTCAGGACACCGTCATTGTCCAGATCCTCTCATGAAAGTGCATATAACCCGGAACAGCTTGACAACGACGACATCAATATCCTGAAATTAGTATTCGCCTGCGCGTTGACCGCTGAGGAGAGCGGCCACAGTGAACTAGGGATGAGGATCTTCAATAGTGTCAGAGACGTTGCAAACGATTCCATATGGAGCCCCCCTGATATCAAAAGGGCAATATTTCTAACCCTCATGGTGAGTTTCAAAGGTTAGACCCCTTCCCGTTGAAGGCAGTGGTATTGAAGAGCGCGCCAGTCTATCTTCTTCTTCCAGATAGATGAGGAAACGCTAGCCTGGAGGACGATCGGTACTGTTGTGCGCATGTGCTTGGAGATGGGCTTGCATAGGAGGGAAACCTTCACACGGCCGGCCATCCTAGCATTTGGCCGCGAGAGAGTCCTCAAGCTCTTCTGGTCAGTTTACACTCTTGATATGCGATGGAGCATCGGCACTGGAATGCCGTTCCATCTGGACCACAGTGATATAGATCCCTCGCTTCCCCAGCCGGTGAGTTGCAAAGATTTCAAGTATACCTCATAGGAGTCTCGCTTATCGCAATTTAGAACGGCGTACCCTATTTGACGGCCATGATTGGCTACAGCCGCATCGCGGAAAAGGTTTGGAAGTTCATTGCCAGCTCGAGCAGCAGCAATGAAATCAAAAAGGATGAAATGGCCTATTTGGATTGGCAGGTCCTCCAATGGGCAAAGTCGATCCCCGATTCCCTCAAACTGGTGAAACCTCAATCTACACAAAGTTCAACAACGGACTACCCCAACCGCGGCATCCGCCGTCTGCAGTGTTTACTCTATCTCCGTGCGAATCTGATGAGGATGCTCATCTACCGGCCGGTTTTGCATACAGGTGCGCAGATGGCGCGGAATCCTGTTGAGGCCACGACAGCCGTGGAGATTGCCAAGGATACGATCCAGTTCATCACACAGTTAAATAAGACGTCGGACATCTATCAACTTCAGCAGGTTGCCTTCAACTGGTTCCTCGTCTCCGCTGTTGCCGTTTTGTTTCTCGCCGTGGCACATGCTCCAGCTCAATTCAACAGCCAATGCAAGGATGAGTTCTACATGGCGCTTGAGCTCGTCAAGGGCTTCTCGATGAAGTCCTACATCTCACAGCGTCTGTGGAAATCTATCAAAAGTCTCAGAAAACTTGCTCCTCAGATAGGACTTCAGAAAAGTCGCCGTACGGCCACCGACTGTGGCAATGACACAAATGACCGAACAGTTGATGGCTATGGAGTCGTCAATTCACAGGAGCCTGTTCGTGATCCAGGCCCGCAGGACGAGTTTCTCCTCGACGGAACGCAGATGAGCCGCGAACTCATGGACTGGTTCGAAGCAATGGGAGAGTCAGGAAACTCGACAGACGTCCCTAACTTGTTCAATGTAGAATCGTTGGACTCCGGTGAGAGTTATATGTCTGGATACGGGAGTGAACTGGCTAGTATACTCAAAGACTGTTTTTAGCCTTTAAAAGCCTGTTGACACAATATAAATCTCTCCGCCGCTTGGAAATTATTTGGGCTAGGGGGAAGTGTAAGAAAATACTACTCGTCATAGCCGGTTTCCAGTAACACGCAGGCTCTGGACAATGTGAACAACTTTTTCTAAAGAAAAATGAAGGAAAAAAAATTCAAGAGACTGCTGTTCAAGCGCGTATCTGCTCCGCGTGTCTTAAACTTTCTTCAGAACCAATGAGCTGGCTCCTTTCCAGCCATTCGGACAATTCTCCCCGGATTACCCCAGATTCGCTACCCCGCACAATCGCGGAATCATCGGTTCTTCAATCCGCGCCTGGTCTGTTACCTTTCGGAACAAATCCGAATTGCACACGTATCCAAGCAACGGGAAACACCAGCTCTTCACTGTAAATGTAATGCACAGGTCACTACGCAGGGAATGCTCTCCGAAGTATCCCTCGCGTCTCTTGAATGATGTGGCAGTGATGAGCTGGCCAAGCTACACATTAGCAAATTAGCTGCAATGTTCTCCTTGTTTCATGACTTCTTCGAACGCAGTTGGTTTCCTGTCAGTCATCAGGATTGAAGTGTCGTTCCGCAGATGAAATGCAATTATGTACGCCTTTACAAGATCGAAGATCGAGAGAATTGTCAAGGAAAACATTTATTCGGTTGATCCGACACTGAAGGTTATTAACAACTAGTAACTTAACCCAGGAATATCTCAACGCATACACTCTTTTTGCCGCTACTCGTACAAGAACAGTAGTATAGACGGTCCTGTGTTGTAGTACTTCCCATACATGCGGCTAGCGAGGGCGGAAGTTAGGGAGATTTCGTGAATTTCATCACGCAGAGAGAGAGATGATGGATTTTGCTGTGGAATATATCGACGTGTATTTCCCTCTCACTCACTCACTCTCTTTTTTTTGTGTGTGTTTTTGTTGTTAAAGCATATGTGTGACAGCATGTGACAGCATATCTAATATATATATCTTCTCGAGTTCCAAATATGGTTTCCCTGGTTTTTAGGAGATACGCAAAGTAATCAGTATATGAGGACAATGAGCTGAGTATATAATCAAAAGAAAGCTTTTGTTTACGCTCGTACAGGCATATAGTTGTTCAGTCAGCCGGTCATCTGAACATGGCTGTTGGCAGAATCGACTCGCAGTCTGGGAGTACGGCGTAGTGGAGCTTAGTACTCCGTACTCCGTACAGAGTAAATGCCGACGAATGGAATGAGATCCAGCAGCGGGTCCTGCAGATTGCTGACAATGGGATTCCCGATCTTGGAATAGCGTTTCTCTTAGAACAATTCTGGCTGCTATCGTTGTCAACCAAATGATTTACTCCGTACGGCATTTCAAAATTTCCCCGGCTCCGTTCGATGATGGCATATGGTCATAGACAAGACAAAAAAATATTATAAAGGAGGACTCATTGCGATTTCATTTCTGTATTTTAAAATGTTTCATCACTGGAGGTTTTCAGAAAATCTGTTCTTTTGTCCTACGCACATATTCTGTATACCAACCTCGTGTTCGATATGGGAAACATTATATCGTTTATTCGCTCTAGGTTCCCCCATCCTCCCACGCTCACTGAGAATGATATTCCCCCTCTCAATGGCCGTGTGCTCATAGTCACCGGCGGTTATTCGGGTTGCGGGCTTGAGCTGGTCAAGATGCTTTTCCATGCTGGTGGCAAGGTCTACATCGCTGGTCGTTCCAGGCAGAAGGCAGAAGCAGCAATCAATAAGATTCTTGGCAGCGCTGCTGCGCCTGCGGACGGTGTTTCGAAAAAGGACAGAGAAAATAACCTTGCTTTTCTTCAGCTTGATCTGGCCGATCTGACGACCATCAAGGACTCTGCCAGAGAGTTTCTCGACAAAGAAGACAGGTTGGACATTATCCTGCAAGCAGGAGTCATGCTGCCTCCACCGGATAGTGTGACAGCTCAGGGATTCGAGATGCAGCTGGGAGTCAATGCGCTGGGGCCGTGGCTGTTTTAATATTTCCTGACGCCACTTTCTTTGAAGACAGCTGCAAGAGAGGATGTCCCCAAATTCTCCACGCGAGTTATCTTTGTCACCTCGAATGCCCACAGCGGAGGTCCCGCGCCGGATGGGGTGAATTGGGAGGATCTCAACCTGACCACTTCCAAGAAAGTGGGTGTAGCCTGGAATCTGAAACGGTATGGGCAGAGCAAAGCCATGAACGTGATGCATGCCCATGAACGTGATGCATGCCCATGAACTGGCAAGGAGATATGCAAGCCAGGGGTTAATCGCCCTTTCTGTGCACCCAGGAGCCCTCAAAACAAACCTTCAGCGGAATTTACCCTGGTGGCTGGACGCGATCTTTGCATCAACAAGATACTCTCCTAGATACGGCGCGTTGTCCGAATTTTATGCAGGCTTCAACTCCGAAGTTGATACGACCATGATAGAAGACGGTGGAAGGAATGGCGGATATGTTCTACCATGGGGACGGTTCGGGCAATGTGCAAGCCATGTATTCGAAGGTCTGACCGAAAGGAACACAGGCGAAAGATTGTGGAACATGTGCGAAGAGATGCTGAAAGACTATATGTGACTATGTGACTTTCATTTGGACAGAGGATGTTGGTAGTATGTATGCAAATACATGTATTGTGTGATTGCTCCTTTTTGTAACAATTTGAATTTTGCGTGGTGTACAGTACACAGACCTTTATTCCGCAATCAAGAAATTCTCGCACAATATAGCCTTCTATTGAAAGACGCATGCATCCAGTACATTTGCAATCCTAATTTAGGATGCAATATGGGTGGCCAACGCCTCGAACTTCCTGTCAAGCTCCTTTGCCGCAGATTGGAGCTTTTCATCTGGATTGACACTCGCGATTAGACTGCTTGGCAAAACGTATACCACCTCTGTCCCCTTGCGGCCTTCCAATTCCTTGAGAAGCAACTCAACAGGGACATGAAGCCCAGAATTCAGGTCGTGCTTGAGCATGGTGATCGCCACGAAAGGATTTCCAAGCAGCACTCTCTTCATCCGCAGTCCATTTCCAATACCAAACAGTTGAATCCATTGACCGTGGTCGAACTCATGAAATTGAATGAAACCGTGGGGGCCAACATGTGTCGAGAAATACTCTGAAAAGCCATCCTTGGTAATGTCGCCGCTGGCATTGAGAGAATCTAGACTAGCAGGACCACTGGGCTGAATTTCTTTGTTGAGGCGGTCGAGGACAACATCGTAGGATGTCGAAGTTGTAAGCGTAATGCGTTTGCCGGTGAACGTATTTATTTGTCTCTGAGCCATTGTCCGAGACGCAGTGACTGTGGCTGGTTAAAACTGAGTGTGAACAGTATCTGGGGTTTCTTGCTTCGAATTGTGTGGAGATATTGGCGGAAATCATACAGAGTATATATATAATAAAAACGTAGATCTCGGTGGAGAACTTATCTCAATTTTTCTAATACAACGACAGCGAAGCTCTAGAAATACGTGGCTGAAAATACTACGAAATCTGTCATGGGGTTGAGGTCATGCTGACCTGACTAACTTCGGCTATCAACTGATGTGTGCGTGAAGTGACATGACAGATAAACCTCGGTTATTTCCATGGTTTTAACTGATTACTGATCATGAAATCTTGGACACATGGTATTGGGAACCGGATATTCAACCGTTACTGGCATCTTGCGATGATACGCCAGGAATGTTTTGTTTCGAACGTGTCTGCTGAATTGCTGTAATCTTGCCGCCCTTTTTTACTCTGAATCTTGTATAGTATTCGATGCATTCTCAAAGCAGCTTCTATGAATAACTTCATATTATAAGCTCTTTATAGGCTGTATATTCAACAGATGTACATTAGGCTATTGTATGCCAGCAGTAAATGACCCTAGGTACCTCCCTAAATAGGTAGGTCTATGGCAACGGCGGGGGACTATTCCAAAAGTGGTAAGGACCCTGGATCTGCGACAGGCCCACTTGATGGCAGAACCTAAAATAACATAAAAAGGGTCCATCCAGCGAACATACACTACCTACACAGCACCCTTTTGGCCCTGTATTGAAAACAATGCCATCAGTACGAGTTTTAATTACTTGTGAGTGCATATACACATAGCTGTAGAGTAGAGAACTCTGCGCGATCCCGGCTGTGGATGGCTTACATAGGAGTACAATAGGGCTTGGGTCCGCCCGCGATCAGATCTCTGGGGACGCGCAATGAGCTGGCGGCTGCAGCCAATAGGATATTACCTATTTCTCAGCAATATCAATGCTCGTCCTCAGCCTTAGTAAGCGCTCATATTTAGAAAATAAATGTGAATAAGAAAAATAAAATTCTGTTTTTCCAGTCATTTCTGGTGTGATTGAGGGGTGTGTCACGTCACGATGCTTCGATTCTGTGTGTTGTTTCTTGGTACGTATATTGTTGACAACTGATGCGGTGTCATCGAAGGGTTGACAACTTACATCCCAGGCCTTCTTTCTGCTTTTTTCTTCCGAGTGCAGGCAGACAGTGTCCCTGCCTCGGTGTTCATTCTTCCTCTGGATAATGGTTCGGCGAACTATACCTTCGCGCTGAACCTTCCAGCGAATTCGGATGATATCTACTTTCATCTCTCTGGCCCTGCCAGCTATTCCTGGATAGCTGTCGGTACTGGGAGAGAGATGAAGGACTCTATGATGTTTATTGTCTACTCGAACGCACAAGGCGATGGTCAGCTATTTCCTTGATCTTCCTGGTTTCTCCCTGCTAAACCAGAATATAGGCGTCACTGTCAGCCCCCGACTTTCCTCCGGGGAAACGGAACCGGTTTTCTCGTCCTCGCTGAATGTAGATGAACTTCCTGGCACTGGCCTGTCAGACAACACTATGATTGTGAATGGGCGATGTTCGAACTGTCGGCGGTGGAAGACAGGTTCTCTGGACCTGACTTCTAGGACTCAACCATGGATCTACGCGCTGGGGCCGCATTCTGGGAACAGTGAGCTCCTCAAAAGTGATTCAAAGACGGCCAGCATCGAACGTCATTCTGAGTATGGTCAGTGACTGCTTAACCGTCTCGTTCTGTTGCTTCGAAACTTACATTTGTCACTCCGTCAACAGGGAGATTCACCATGGACATGGTCCTCGCGACAGGAGGCACGGGAGGTCTTCCCACATCGTTCACGACCGCTGTAGGATCCTCTGAGGATGGGAAACCCCATTACGATAGCAACTGGCCCAGCATTCTCCATGCCCTTGCCATTTGCGCTGCGTTCGTGCTTCTTATGCCTACTGGAGTCTTCGTCCTCCGTGTCTTCCCAGCAAGCGTGCGTTGGCACTGGGTGAATCAGTCCTTGGCTTCGATACTGGCGATTGCCGGAGGAATGCTTGGTGTATACCTGAGCACGATGTTCACCAAGTCGCAATCATTTGGATCGTCTCACCAGATTATTGGCCTCGTCTGTCTTGCTGCTGTGGTGGTACAGTGGGGCTTGGGATTCTGGCATCATCGACTCTTCAAGATCATCAAGCGACCAACTAGATACGGCCCGATTCACCGATACTTCGGTCGGATTATCCTCGTGCTCGCCGTTGTGAATGGTGGGATCGGTCTGACGTGGTCTTATGCGTCTACCCGCGTCGTCGTCGGCTATATAATCGTGGTAGTTGTCGTCGGCATCACGGTTATCGCCGCCGTTGTGTGGAAGAGATTCACCTCACGATCCAGGAAAAAGGATGGATTGATGAGTGAAGGTCTTGGTGGACAATATCAAGGTGGCTATGATTCGAATATTCATCTGGCATCGTATCCGGAGCAGCAATACAATGATCGTTTTCAGTAAGAATGAAAATGCGATGAAAACTCCGGTGGGATCCATGGCAGGACACAGATCTACTTCTAATTAAAGTTTGTATTATTAATTTTATTACTTGTTTGCATGGGATGGGCACCAAATATGTGTGGATTTACAATGGGAAAGGGTTTTTGTCGGAACATAAAGACTTAGCCTTGGATGTGTGAGAAGCTCGTTTTTTGTTCGGAGATATATTCACTAGAGCTTCCGAATCAGCTTTTTTCGAATTCGACATGGAGAATTAGCCATGATGACTCGCATCGAAGGCTTATATATTGATGGACCCCTTCTACTAATATCAGTTCCATGACATGGTGTTATTGAAGTATTGCACATCTCTACCTGCATACCGATGGGCGTTGTATCTCCTCCTTTTGGTGCCTGCAAGAACAATATGCCGACAAATCATGCCGATTCAATCAGCCGAAGTTAGGGCCAAACAACAAAGATGACATGGGTGGCTCGCATACTCCGGAGTAGTGACTTGCTACTAGTCTGAGACCGCGATTGCTAGTTTGGGTTAACAAGTGAGCGAGAGGATTTGCAAAGTTGTGGATTCTCAAATCGACTCGTAGGGAGACATGTGATTATTCCTATAGATGCTGCGTGTGGCAACTCAGACCAATTCCTGCCCATTCTGCCCATTACATTACGTAAATCAAAGTGGATGTTACACAAATATAACTATTTGGCAAGATTTGCGTCTGTTGACGCTCAGACTGTTGATCCTCTGATCGAAACCTGTTGTGAGATTTTAGTTTCTAATGATGGCCGGGGGATTAATATATTTTTCATTCGCATCACTACATCACGGTATTAAGTTCAAATAATGTTTATTATTAGTCGTAAAGATATATTGTAGAAGGATCATAGAGATTTCTTTACTTCAGACGAAACGAACAAAGTAAATATTTGTATTAGTGAAATAAGGAAGGTCTTTCACAGCACAATGTCATTAATAATCTGGTTTCTGTATGTCGGAGTAGTCATGCTTGGAAAAGTGATAAGAGGTCTGAGCGCCAAAGACCTATGGCATAATTATCGATTCAATAATAGACTTGTTCAGGTAGAAAGGAACACCATCTTCCTGCTAAATGATTCATCGAACCCCTCTGTTAACCGCCATAGCTGGGATGGTACAACAGCAGCTCTCTATATTGAGCTCTGCGATTGGCCCGCCTGCGTAGATCCTCTAGCTAAGTATAACGCCAGAAGTCGCTAATATTAGATGATCTCAGCCCATCGATGTCGTGACAAGCTCATGGGGCTACACATAGGTAGCCGGCGGATGGATCAGTCTAAGCTTAGTCACGAAGTTTGTCTCGAGCTAAAAATTCCTACACCGGTATAGGCTGTGGAGTTCTGTGCAGTCTTTTGGCTGGCCAAACCCCGGAAAGTCCTGACTGGGGTAATGACTTCGAGATGTTGCATAAGCGAGCTATCACCCCTCCTCCTTATCTGCAGATCTAGTCGTGAGTGCTGCGCTTGATGATAGTTTGCCGTGGATTTGTAAGCCCTGATTTATAATGTTGAAAATGAGCTCGCATTCAACGTAGCTGTCTGCTGCAATGGAGAAGCTCCAGATTTTGTTATCCAGACGTATTATAGGCTATTCTCCTCAGAACTGCAAACATCTAGTACTCTAAAAACAAACTTCTTTGTTTGATTATTTAAGGGGTGTCATTCCTCAAAGTTCCGAGGTTCAGTCCTCTATTAAGATGTCCATGGCGAGCTTTGGAGCGCCAGCTAAAATTTACTTCACTGAACCATGCCCCTACCAACGCATTGCTGATCACATATCAAACTTAGCGCTATGCACAACACACAAGACGACTTAGCAGGGATGTCAACATAGACCATCGATGGTAGTCTAGTTTTCCTGTTCATGTATCATGCCAAAGATGTGACCTCTGGCCCAATGAAGTCCTCGAGCACTGTCGCAATTCAACTTATGATCCTCCTCAGAGAGCTTTCTGGCTTGCATAATTCCAAAAACAGTAGAATCCAAGTTCATGTGATCATGCCCAAGAAAACAAACCTCATCATAGTCAGTTTTGTCGCCATTTGATCGACAGATTTGCGTGAGAAGCTTAGTAAAGGTATAGAAATTGTGTATGTAGGAGGTACTTCTGTAGTTATATAGACGTGTTGTGTCCTTCTATTCTCTGGCATTTTTCAGAAAAAACGATTCAAGTTTCAAACTCGTCTTCTACGGGCATTCACACTCGTAACTTCCAATCAACGCACCAGTTTTAGGGTTATACCTCTACATTGCCGACCATGGCGGACATCGAAAAAGCCGCGGGGCAGGACAACGGCCAGAACACAGCCAAATACGACTTGCCAGCCGACACCAACCGGGATGAAGCCCTTGAGAGGATCAGGGCCACAGGAAGCCTCTCCATCTCCCCGGAACTCTTTGAGAAGATCTATCTTTCTCCCAAGAATACTGTCAAGGGTGATCTCCGATCCATTCTCGGAAACCCTACACCTCTGTGAGTCTTCCGTCACACTTACAAGAGCATAGTCTGACTGGGTATAGTGGCCTCGCCGGATTTCTCTTGAGTCTGAGTCCGCTCTCTGCTGAACTCCTCGGATGGAGAGGCGCGGGTGGCGACGGCGCTGCGACTATGTTAGTATATTCCTTGTAATTTGCACAAACATAGAAGCTGACAAGGCGACAGTGGAGTCTTCTACTTCACCGGTGGACTCCTGTTGACGATTGCGGCTGTCCTAGAATTCATCCTCGGAAACACCTTCATTTTTGTCGTGTTTGGCACTTACGGTTCGGCTACATCTCATTGAAAAAAAAAAACTGAATGCATAACTAACAGATGAGTGACAGGTGGATTTTTCCTCTCCCTCGCCGGAACCTTGACGCCATCCAACGGTGCTGCTGCTGCTTATGAGCCCAGCGATCCAACGAACCCTGGATTCCATGCATCATTCGGTATGGCATCATTCCCGTTCTCGACTTGTACATACAGTGTCAGCTAACCAGAGTCCTGTCGTAGCATTTTATTTCCTCTTCATCGGAATTCTCACCTTCTTCTTTTTCCTGGCCAGTCTGAGAACGAATGTCGCCTTTGTGACCATTCTCTTCACCCTCACCATTGGTTTTGAGGCACTGGCTGGCGCGTATTGGCAGCTCGCAAACGGGAACGTTCAACTAGCGCACAGGCTGCAGATTGTGAGTCGATCCTTACTTGACAAGTAGCTCATATTCGAAGCACATCCACTAACAATACTTCAGACTGGTGGATCCTTCACATTTGTCACGATCATCGCTGGCTGGTATCTTATCTTTGTGCAGATTCTGGCCGCTGTGGACTTCCCACTTGCGCTTCCTGTCGGAGACCTGAGTCACATCATCAAGGGCAGAAGTGACAAGGCAGAGAAGACTGAATAAATACTCATATAATGGGAAATGCCGACAGCAAAACGACAGCTTCGCACTGGACGATGACGATAATGGACGAACGAATGCTTGATGGAGGCTTTGGAATGACTCCTGACAACGATCATAGGCCGTAATTCACTGTTTCCCTCGAACATCAAGATTTAGGAATTGCTAATGTTACTCATGATATGCTTAATTCCAGGTCTCTATGGAACTCTTCGAGTAGACAATTCGTAAAGGTTAAAAAACTCTAGTTGTAAGGGAAAGAAGATATAAAACAAAAATCTGTTATCAGGAATATTACCCTTATAAAAAATCACAGACAATCACTTTGCTCGAAGAGGTTTTAGATTATATATATGCTGATCAGTAAGGTTGGTTTATTAAAACTGCACTACTTCACTACTTGTAGAGAAAATGTTAACAATCACTTGTGTAGCCTCCTCGTTCGTTCGTACAGCAGACAGCATCGTGATATACCTTAACCGTCCAGAGAAATGCTATATCGGAGAGATACGAACTTGTACCTCTGTTATTTAATTGTTTTATTCTTCACTGCGTCTTTTTGGCCTCGAAAGTCCCACTGACGGGCATGGTGAGTGCGTTCTTCTGTTTCACCATGGCTAGTTTTTTTTTTCGCTGACTGCAAGCTCCTTCTTTATCACATATCGCCGTCCTCTACTCCGTAGATAGAGATGGATCCTACCCTTCGAAGTCGTCATTGTCAGAAATTATCTTCGGCATCATTTTCCGGCTTTTAAGGGCTTTTCGGCGTCGTCTCCGGGGGCTAGCTTCCGCTAGCTCCACTTATCCTGTAGGCTAGCCTTTCAAGGAGATGATCGGCACCGAAATGGGGCGTATAATGGTCTGTGCCCATGGGGGTCCCAATCGCGGGCATGAAGATGCGGGGAGAAGCCCTGGGAGCGTCAGTGACCAGAAGATTAAGTGACCTTGAACAAGAATACAGAAAAAACAAACGATATTATAGAATATGCTATCTATCATATTATCCAAATTCATCGGTTGAGAGATGCCTGTAATTACGGCAACAGTGGTGTGGTATGAAGTCTGCTTGCAAACAGTCTATGTGGTACCATAGTGATCAAGAATTTTGGTATGAATAGTAGTAGGAATGATCTCTGGAAACCTTGATCCCTACGAGGTCCATGATCTACGCCCGGCGAACTCAGAGAAGAACCTCATGCCTAATCCTGACAAGTTTAGCAGCAAATGTTTACTCCGTATAGAGATTGAACAATCCCGTCCGTAGCACGATTCTTCTGGAATAGTTCTTTGTTGAAGACACACATCACCCGGGGAGAATACAGAGTACCGGTTCATTTAGTCTGGGAACAGCGATACTCCGCGAAAATCCCCACACTTATGTTATGGATCGACAGGAAATAACAGCAAACCCTCAAACGTTAAACCATTCAAATATGTTGCAAACAATTCAGACTACCTTGAGACAACAGCTCATCAAGGCACAACGATAGGCTAGTGTCAAAACTAAAAGTTGTAGAATAAGACAGCTATACCTAATTGGTAGTTTATGGTCAATATCGATACCAAAATAACCAATCACGCTGATAGAGTGATTGAATATTTATAATCGAGCGCTCAGTCGCATACGGAATCTCCTCCAGCATAACTTGTGCCGAATATTATATCCGATCCAGCATTACAGGCTATTGCAGCGACGAAGGACAGTTGTACAACTGTCGATCAATGACTTCAGTTGTATCTTCGCCTCGCGTGGCCGCATGTGGAGGTTCTGGAAATCAGTTTCCTATCCCGGAAATTCGTCAACCAGATCATTACCAAGCAAGATTACCCCGCATCGCATCGAGATCAGCTCTTGTAAGCCGGAATGATTATTCCATGATAATCAGGTCGCAGAAGACGATATATAAACCGGCGACAATGCATGAAACAGGAGAGTCTGCTTCCAGTCGCCTTCATGCGGAGACATTAACGTGGTGGTATATGCTCCATCATGCAGTTCCTCGTGCCTCTCCTGCTGTTTCTCTCACTCTGCTTAGGCCAACAAAATGAAGGATCTGTATACACCCCCCGGATAAGCTCAGGCTATGGCAATTGGTCTGAAGCATACAGAAAAGCCCGCGAATTCGTCTGTCAGTTAACGTTGACCGAAAAAGTCAACCTCACAACGCAAGTCGGCACGGGCCAGACCCAAGGCTACGACATTGGCATCATCCCCCGGCTGAACTTTCGAGGATTTGCGGCTGATGACTCGCCCTCCGGCGTGCGAGGAACCGACTATTCCTCCGCCTTTGCGGCGGGACTTAACCTGGCCATGTCCTGGGATAGAGAGCTAATCTATGCTCAATCATACGCCAACGGAGCGGAGCACAAGGGCAAAGGCGTCAATATCGTCTATGCCCCCGTGGCCGGTCCGCTGGGGCGAGCGCCAACCGGGGGGCGCATTTTCGAGAGCTACTCTCCAGATCCGTATCTCTCAGGGATCGCCTTCGGGACATCGATTGCAGGAATGCAGGCTGCCGGAGTGATCGCCGTCGGGAAACACTTCATCCTCTATGAGCAGGAGCATTTCCGCCAAGTCATCGAATGGAACTCGTACGGGCTGGGCCCGAATATCACGGAGCCGTACTCGTCGAACTGTGATGACCGGACTTTGCACGAGCTCTATCTGTTCCCGTGGTACGACGCTGTATACAGCGGCATGGCCGGGGTGATGTGTTCCTACAACCAGATCAACAATACCCAGGCGTGCCAGAACAATCACATCCTGAATGACATCCTCAAGGGCGAACTCGGCTTCCAGGGGTTTGTGACCAGCGACGACGGGTCCCAGCACGACGGAGTCCTCACCGCGCTGGCAGGAATGGACATGACTATTCCTGGAGAGACCTCTCCGAACGGTATCGCCGGGCTAGGGATCTCATTCTGGGGGCCCAATCTCACCATGGCCGTGCTCAATGGCAGCGTGCCCGAGTGGCGGCTTGACGACATGGCCACCAGGATTATGGCTGCTTACTACTACCTCGGCCAGGACCAGGATTTCCCACCACTGAGCTTTGCAGCAGCAGATTACTCTACGTACGGATACGAGTATCCGCAAGCGCAGGTCGACTACACGCAGATCAACTGGCACGTCGATGTGCGTCAGAATCACTCTCAGATCATCCGTGCGGTGGGCGCCAACTCGATCGTGCTGCTGAAGAATAACAACGGCACGCTTCCTCTCAGGAAACCCAGACAGATTGCCGTCATCGGCGAGGATGCTGGTCCTTCGCCCTACGGTCCCAACGGCTGCACTGATCGGGGCTGCGTTAATGGCACGCTTGCGATGGGCTGGGGGAGTGGTAGCACAAATTTCCCGTATCTGGTCGACCCCTTGTCTGCCATCCAGCAGCGGGCGTTGAAAGACGGTACCGAAGTGCAATATGTCTTGAATAATTTCGCCACTGCGCAGATCGACTCTGTAGCGTCGCAAGCCACCGTGTGTCTCGTGTTCATCAATGCCGATAGCGGAGAGGGATATATCGAGGTGGGCGGCAACTACGGCGACAGGAACAATCTCACGGCATGGCTGGGCGGAGATGCTCTCGTCCAACGGGTTGCTGCGAACTGCAGTCAGACGGCGGTCATCATCCATGCGCCAGGGCCCATTCTGATGGAGGACTGGATCGACCACCCGAATGTGACGGCGGTGCTCTTTGCCGGGCTCCCGGGACAGGAAAGCGGGAATTTGCTGGTCGACGTGCTGTACGGCGACGTCAACCCATCTGGCAAACTTCCCTGGACCGTGGGCAAGGCTCGCGAGGACTACGGGACTGATGTGTTGTATGAACCCAAAGGGCCAGTGCCGCAGATCGACTTCACAGAGGGCCTGTTCATCGACTATCGCTGGTTCGACAAGCAGGGCATCGATCCTCGCTTTGAATTCGGCTTTGGGCTGAGCTACACGACGTTCGACTATCAGAACCTCAGCATCGAGACCTTAAAAGCCTCTCCAGCGACAGCAACAACCACATCGCCAGTAGCTTCAACCACCGTCAATCCTTCTAGGTGCCCGACCACCAGCCTCAATCCGTCCGACTACACGTTTCCATCGACGATCAGCTCGCTGACGAATTACATCTACCCGTACATCGCTCCCAATGCGACAATCTCTACCGCTGCCGCCGGTACACCGACGCCCACTATCATCCCGGAGGCAGCAGGTCCTCAGGGAGGAAACCCGGCGTTGTACGATGTGCTGTACCGGGTGACATTGACGCTGAAGAACAACGGAACCGTTGCGGGGCAAGAGGTGGCCCAGCTGTATCTGGACTTGGACAATGGGGAGCCCAGTCGCCAGCTTCGGGGGTTCAACAAGACGTTCCTGCAGGCCGGGGAGACCAAGGACGTCACGTTTGATCTGCGGAGGAGAGATGTGGCGATTTGGGATGTTGTGAAGCAGGAGTGGGTCGAGGTCAAGAAACTGGGGACAAAGATTGGGGTGTATGTTGGGGCCAGCTCGAGGGATTTGCGTCTGACGGGGGAGATCTGAGCTGAGATTTCTTTCGAGAGAGAATACCTACAATTTTAATACTAGTCCATTGATTGGTCAGTGCTACCGCTTCCAAACCATGTTCGATGGATTGAAGCTTGTAATAGATTGTTTGGCATGACGTTAGTCCATCTTAATAGTGGATCTCAATTCATCATCACGTTCAACTTCATTTCCTATTTAAAAGCAAACTTCATTCAAATCATTGCCGTTGCTTGCTCAATTGTAAAGTCAACATTCCATTCCGTTCGCCATTTCATATCCTCGTCATTAAAACGCAGCAATCGCACTGGAAAACGCCGCATCAATCGAAGTCGTGGCATTGGCAATGGTGCTCGCGTCCGACGAAGTAGCCTTGGACTCGAGCGCGCTGGTAAGTTGGTCGGTCAGATTCTTCAGCGTGGTCAGGCTGGACTGGACCTGGCTGGTGTAGCCGATGGCTGCGACTTGGGGTTCCTGTATTCGTGAGTATCTTAAACGAGACTCGTCTGATCTAAGGGCTGATGAACCTACCTTCTGAACAAGATCGTTCAGCGTAGTGGTAATCTGCGGCTCCAGGGTGAGGACTTCATTGGTCACGCTGGTGCTGTCGCTGGCACCAAAAGGAGCCGATGCGTCGGTGTCGTTTATGGCCGTCTTGATGGCATTCTCGACGTTTGTCACATCGCCGAGAAGCGGGATGGCGGACAGGACAGAGCCATCCCAGCCGGTGATGTCCTTCTGGAGCGTGGTCAGGTCGTTGCCAATCGTCGTCAGGTCAGTCAGGACAGAGCGCTTGACGATGGGGCCAGCGGCGACCAGACTGAAGCTGAGAACGAGGGCAGTCACGGTGTTGGGCAGCATTTTGGTGGAATGAATTAGTGAGAGAAGCTTTGTAAAAAGATCAACAGGAGCCTACTTGATCGAGTAGTGATTGCCACTTGGCAGACGAAGGATGAGAGGAAATTAGGCCCCTTTTATACTATACGACACCGTCTACTTCTCGCCCGCGGAAATTACTGCGTAACAACTAATTCTACCTTCGACTTCGACTTCTCTGTCTCTGTCTAGGCCATCTCATCATCACCCTGGTCGATGGCGGAACTAACCTGTGCGACTGCGGAAGGGAAGATTTCGCAATAATGGATAAATTTGTCGAACGACATGTAACGGTAACCCCGCTAAGGCGATCATATGAGCAAGATATGCGTTTACGGAATTGCTTCAGCGGCTAGAGGCATACGTGGGACATTGATTGTTTGGCTAGAGACGGATAGATATGCAAGCAAGCAAGCAACACGTTGGATCGTCTCTCTGCAGCCCTACATGCAAGTGCCACAATTTAAAGACACCTTTGTCTACTACGTAGCTGAGTGGATAGGAGCTCTCAGGACTCAGTGACAAAAAGAAACAAGCTTCAATGGACTGGAACTGATTTACTGCAGCCAAGCTTCCCCGCATTCCCGATGCTGTACAGACCTCCCTTATCTGTCCCCGCGTTTAGCAGAAAACAACATAAGACCTAAAAATGATTTCGCCATCTTCAGTCGATACCATCCAATCAACAATGCACCCTGCGACACGCATACAACACAGTTTGCAACCCAACGCGGCGACTGTTTCCATTTCGCGCACGGGTCATAGCTGTTGGCGACGATGACCCTGCAGGGAAATCGGAGGGTTACCACGCTAATTTAACCTCATCAAACAAGACGATGAATGACGTGAGTTTAGTATTTTCGGGAGTGGATAAGAAATACGAGCTGTGCTGAACGTTTATAGAGTCGCCAAGAGCTGGCTAGTATAGTACCATCGGGTCAGAACGAAATCTTCCCAGGAACAAACTTATTTTAGTTCCTATTCCTATATTAGGGGATACAAAAAACACGTCTTTTTAGCGCGTCATTCGGCTCAGAGAGGCCTCTGAGCCCCTAAAAACCACCATGGAACCTCCCGATCCCCATGGTGGTGGTGTTATTCACGCGTCACCCCCGGCAAACGGCCACGCGGCAAGCCAGCTCACGGAAATCCTGGAGGTACCAGACCACCCCAACCCCAAGCCGATGGAACATCACTGGACC